TGTGTGTGTGTGTGTTTTCTAAAGCTCTGTACCTTGGTTCTGTCCCTCTGCTGTCCAGGGGATCCAGGTAACACCTGTCCACCTGAATGCCTGTTCCTGTTTGTTGTGTATCTCTTCATTTGTGTGCGTGTGCGTGTCACACTCATGTCAACATCACCTCACACTGTCCAAGAAGACATGTCCAGATGTTATGAACCTGAGCAGGACGATCTGTCGACAGTTAAAGTAACACGATGGTTCATTTGACCTGAAAATAATTTACATTACTTTGAACTTTGTATAAAGTAACTTATCACAGGAAGAATAACTCGAGAGCTTTGTGTTGCTCTACACGTGGAGGTGCTGACGAACTCTTCCAAACAAAATGGTGATAGTCTCCAGATGTGAACTCCAAACATCTGTCCTGTCTGTCCTGTCTGTCTACTGTGTGACTGTCTGCCCTCAGGCCGAGCCGCTGTCTCACTGTCTCCACCTGTCTGTCCTCCAGACATCAGCTCGTTGGGATAAGAATGTTTCTCTTTGAACAGTTTGAGTGATGATGTCACTGATAGACTGATTGATCCTCAGACCGCCAGTGAGTCGAGCGGCGCCGCAGCCGGAGAAACTCCAGAAGAACAACGTGTCCAAGAAGAAGAGACTGGTCGAGGTAAAGTTCGTCTCTGTCGCTCTCTCCCTCTGTCTGTCCATCCGCCTTGTCTCCTGTTCAGCTCTGTCCCGTCCCTCTGCAGGACCTGGTCTTGGATCACGTGTTTGGTTTTCGAGGCTTCGATTGTCGTAACAACCTGCACTACCTCAACGACGGCTCCGAGATCGTCTATCACACTGCAGCCACGGCCATCGTCCACAGCCTCACCACCGGTGAGCACAGCACGGCACATGCTCATGACCCACACATTGTTCATACATCCACATGTATGAGGCGTGTGCTGGAGACCACACTGATTAATCAGAGACTTGTGAGACTTTAGCAGACGTTCTCTTCCTGATTGGTTCTTATCAGCGTCATGACTCACGATTAAAGCTTCACATGGTCAGTAACAGTTCCACGTGTCGTCTTCTGCAGGAACTCAGAGTTTCTACCTGGAACACACTGACGACATCCTCTGTCTGACCGTCAACCAGCACCCGAAATACAAAAACATCATCGCCACCGGACAGATCGGTACTGTGTGTGTGTGTGTGTGTGTGTGTGTGTGTGTGTGTGTGTGTGTGTGTGTGTGTGTCTGCATGACTGTGTGTTTTCTACTAAATAAGTCCTGCTCTTCTCCCCTCTGCTTCCTGGTGAACTTGCCTGCTTGACTTTTTCCCACTGACAGAACAGAAACAACATCACTAAGCTTTAAAAAAACACTTTTAGACCCTTGAGTATGTTTTAAAAAGTAAATTAATAATTCAAGCAGCAACAATCTGTCCGTTTTCATCAGTTTTATTTGTTTGTGTGTTCTTTTGTTGTTTTTGTGTGTGTGCGTTTTGGCTGGCCTCATTTGTCACCATCGCTCTCACAACACCTCAGGTGACGTCAGTGAACTCCCAGGTAAACACTGCCTCTCCAGTCAGGACAGACACCCTGAGACCCGGAGACGAGCTGAAGCCTGAGTCTGGTTTCCTTACAGCTGAAGCTGCTCTGGTTCTCAGGGTGTCTGGAAGCTGCTCTGATCCTCTGTCTGCTCTGTTTGTCCTCAATGTTTCCTGTCATTTTAGTCCCACGTTCTTTCTGTGTGTGACGTCTTCTGACCAGACCTCGGTTTCACCTTCATGCAGGCACCACACCTTCCATCCACGTGTGGGACGCCATGTGCAAACAGACCCTCTCCGTCCTGCGCTGTCCTCACGCTAAAGGCGTCGGCTACGTCAACTTCAGCGCCACGGGGAAGCTGCTGCTGTCTGTCGGCGTGGAACCTGAACACACCATCACCGTGTGGCGCTGGCAGGAAGGTCAGACTCTTCTCTGATCAATAATCACACACACACACATTATTTCAGAAGCCCGGTGGCACAGGAATTTATCTTCTGATCGATTCAGGGTCTGAGCAGCTTGATTTAAAATCCCTTTAAGGTCTGAAAGAGTCTGAAATGTGTCTTATTAGATATTTGTTCTGCACCTCGGATGTTAAATAATTAACTTTTAAATCAAACTCTTGGAGAATTAAAAAATGTCTCCTGTGCAGGATCCAAGGTCTGCAGTAAAGCCGGACACCCGGACCGGATCTTCGTGGTGGAGTTTCGGCCAGACTCCGACTCCCAGTTTGTGTCAGTGGGAATCAAACACGTGAAGTTCTGGACGCTGGCCGGTGGTGCTCTGATGTACAAAAAGGGCGTGGTGGGGACAGTGGAGGACGGCAGGATGCAGACGATGCTGTCCGTCGCGTTCGGAGCCGTGAGTTCACCGCTGACTTGTTGTCTCTGTACCTGGAAGCCTGATGTCTCCAGTTTACTGTTGAATTGTGTATTTGCAGAATAACTTGACGTTCACCGGAGCCATTAACGGGGACGTGTATGTGTGGCGGGACCACTATCTGCTGAGGGTTGTTGCGAAGGCTCACACCGGGCCGGTCTTCACCATGTACACCACGCTGAGAGACGGACTCATCGTCACCGGTGGCAAGGAGAGGCCGTGAGTCATCAGTCTGCTCTTTCTGGAAAAGAAGTGAATCTGGCAAGTTCTGTGTATCTGCGTTTAAAGAGGGAAGTTAAAGCAGTGAAATGTTTTGGGCTTGTGTCAGGACGAAGGAGGGCGGCGCCGTGAAGCTCTGGGATCAGGAGATGAAGCGTTGTCGAGCGTTCCAGCTGGAGACGGGACAGCAGGTTGAGTGCGTCCGGTCCGTCTGCCGAGGAAAAGTGAGACCTTTTTATTACTTTCATGAGTTTCATCCTTCCATCTTCTCCCAACTTTCTCCTCAACTCCTCCTCTTCCTCCCTCAGGGGAAGATCCTGGTGGGGACGAAGGACGGGGAGGTCATCGAGGTCGGGGAGAAGAACGCGGCGTCCAACCTGCTGCTGGACAGTCACGCTCGGGGGGGCATCTGGGGTCTGACCACTCATCCTGCTAAAGAGCTCTGCATCACCGCCAGCGACGACGCCACCATCAGACTCTGGGACCTCACGGACAAGGTACAGATCACTGACCTGTACTGCAGCCAGCCACCAGGGGGCGATGTGATTTTACTTATGACTGGTGACTGTCCTGTTTCCTTCCCTCACTCTCTGTTTAGAAACTGTTGAACAAGGTGTGTGTCGGCCACGCCGCTCGCTGTGTGACCTACAGCGCTGATGGGGAGATGCTGGCCGTGGGGATGAAGAACGGCGAGTTCCTCCTCCTCCTCGCCAACTCCCTCAAGATGTGGGCGAAGAAACGAGATCGCAACGTCACCATCCAGGACATCCGGTAAGAGAGCGAGAGACAATTCACAGGGGCAGGAGCTAAATCCAGGACAGCCTGAGGACGGAGATGTTTTCTGAACGTCAGAGCGTGAAAACATTTTTCAGTCATAACACAGATTCAAATCTCCAGGTTCAGTCCGGACCGGCAGCTGTTGGCCGTCGGTTCAGGGGAGAACACGGTGGATGTGTACGATGTGAGCGGAGGACCGAGTCTGAACCGACTGGTTTACTGCAGCGACATCCCTGCTTTCATCCTGCAGCTCGACTTCTCCGCTGACAGCTGTTACATACAGGTACACACACACACACACATATATATAGAGAGAGAGAGAGAGAGAGACATGGTTCACTTTATCTAAGTACCTTGTGTGTGTGTGTGTGTGTGTGTGTGGGCAGGTGTCCACAGGAGTTTATAAGCGGCAGGTCTTCGAGGTTCCTTCAGGGAAGTTGGTGAGCGATCAGACCGCCATCGACAGAATCACGTGGGCGACCTGGACCAGGTGACGGGATCTTCTTTCAGTCGAGCTGCAGGCTGATGATCCTGAGTAAAGATATCAACGGAGAGTTCAGCAGCTCTGACGCAACATGTTTTTCTCCCTCAGTGTTCTCGGAGATGAGGTTTTAGGGATTTGGCCTCGAAACGCAGACAAAGCCGACGTGAACTGCGCCTGCGTCTCTCACGCCGGCCTGAACATCGTCAGCGGCGACGACTTCGGATTGGTCAAACTGTTCGACTTCCCCTGCACAGAGAAGTTTGTGAGTCACAGATCTCTTTATTTTCTTTGTGTCTTCATTCACCAGGTTGTAATTCTTTTGAAAGAACTTCTCACCGCATGAAAAACACTGATGTTATCAACATTTAATGTTTTCACACTTTGTAAAGATAGAAAATCTGAAATAAAATGTTGAGAGAAAGAAATGTAAGAAATAATTACAAAAAAATATATAAGTTTGTGTAAATTAGTGGTGGAAGTAATTTTTTTTAATTAGTCATTAAAATAAATCACTGAACCAAACCAACGACTCAACCATCACTTGACCACACTTCATTTCACATTCGATGAGTCATTGAACTAAAAGTTGTTTTGTAAGATAAATGTGTGGAAATAATAAAAAATATAATTCTCTGTTAAAAAGCTTTAAATCATTATATTTAACCTTAAAACTGAAACTGAAAACTTAAATCTCAGTAGAAGAAGAATAAACGTTAAGTCTCGATACATCTCTCCATCAGTGTGTGTGTCAGTGTTAAATATAAAAAATGAAATGTGAAGGATGTTGATTAGAAACGTTCTTTACAGTGAACTCTGTGAGACCGTTACACAAAGCTGAAGTTTATAAATCATCATCAGGGAGAAAGGTTCAGTTTGTTTTCTGTCTTCAGGCCAAACACAAGCGCTACCTCGGCCACTCGGCTCATGTGACCAACATCCGCTTCTCCCACGACGACAAATACGTGATCAGCACAGGAGGAGACGACTGCAGGTAAACTGGGGTTAAGAAGAAGAAGAAGAAGAAGAAGATATACTTTTATTGTCAAACATGTTTTTTTAAAAGTCCTAGTGAGTCATAAAATACTTAGTGAGTCATCAAATAGTAAAAAGGACGTGTCCCTTGTTGAGCTGAGGACAGAGGACGTCTCTCGTTACAGCCTTATGAGACAAATTGTGATTTGTGAAATGAGCGATAGAAATTATTTGATTGATTGAAAAGTCAGACTTGAGCAAGTTTCACGTCCAAATGTCTGAGAATGTTTTTAACGTGTTGACGTCTGTTGTGTGTCTGTTGTGTGTCTGTTGTGTGTCTGTTGCAGTGTGTTTGTGTGGAAATGTCTGTGAACAGATTTCTGTCGTCCGCTGACGCTTTGATTCAAAGCACCTTAACAGCACCACAAGTGGATCCGGGGGGAATCAAACCCACAACCTGAGCCACCACAGACCTTTTTCATGGTGACAGGGCGGAGGACTACAGACTGCTGCCGGCCCATCGATCCAGGTAACGTGACGGATCACGTGACGGATCACGTGACGGATCACGTGACACACGACGAAACCACGAAGAGGCGACAAAGAGGAAAAAGATTCATCAGAGGAAAGCGTCCGAAGGTTTGAGGAGTTTTCTGGCTCAGTGACATTTTGTTAGAATCTCACTGAGCTCGGTGACGGAAGGTTTCAGATCAGATTCACTCAGAACGTCCCTGTTCTCAAACCACAGAATCACTTTCTGACCTGGCTGCGGTTTTAAAAGGTTTAACTACGATTCATAAATCCTTTAACAAACATTTCATCAAAACAAGGATTCACCAATTTGGGAAAAATCCTCAGAGGAAATATTTTGTCTTTTTAGTTCCAAATTTTGAAACAAAATTCAATTAGATTGTATTTGTATAAAACCAAATCATCGGACACATGATCTCTTACACAGTCAGTGACAGAGACACACAGCGGTTCTCTCAGTGAGCACACAGACAACTTCGTATGAATATTTACAGCTGCAGAATTATTAGATTATATAAAATGATTGTTTGTGTAGAATCGTCTGAATGTAGGAAGATAAATATGAAACGTTCCAGTAAATAAACTATTAATAACTGAATATCGTTTGTCAACAGCTCCAGTGGAAGATGCTGAGTGAACACAACCAGTGAAAATATTATAAAAAAGAAATATTAAACATTGATAAACAATTGAAATAAATGTCTTCACATGTGTTGATCCGTTATCGTCTGTTATCAGTGTTTTCTAGTCTGTTATAAATAAACTATTACGAGTTTCACACTTTCTGATAAGTCGTCAGTTCTGCAGCTGTAAATGTTGAGAATTAAATTAATGATAAAAAGTGTCTTGATTTTAAACGAGTCACTGAATCAGTTCCACACGTTGATGAATCCTTTCTGAAGTCGTGAATCGTACAACAGATAATGATTCGTTGCGTTCGGTCTGATTAAAGAGACAAAGTGTAAATGAATCTGTTGATTAAAGCTCGTGACCATCGTCTGAAAGTGAAAAAACAACAAACCGTGTTACGACTTTCAGTTCTTGTCTTTAAAAAGTTTCTTCCTGTCCAGGGGTCAAACATTCACAACCGAAACACACAAGTCGGAAATATTCGCACACATCCACGTGTTTTTTGTGTCACTCATGAATTTAAAAAGTTTCTTCATCATTCTGATCAATAGAATGAAGTTTCTTTAAGTCCACAGATTCAAATCTCATTAAATCAAACGTTCATTTATTTCATCAAACTGGATAAAGATCCAGAAGCTGCAGATTCTGTTTCAGCTTTTTTTTCTATGACGTTTTCTTATTTGTGCCTTTGGTCCTTTCATCATCACCGTGACGATGAGGAGTTTATGATTCTAAATAAATAATCTAAATTGTATTAATCTGGAGACGCTCACATTCTTCTTCTTCTTCTTCTTCTTCTTCTTCACAAATGTAAATAAAAGCTGCTGTCTGACCCCTGGATTCAGTCTCGTGACGCTCGGAATCAGAAACGATCAGACGCTGATTTTGGAGGATGAACTGTAACAGAGTCTCTTTCTGGTCGGATCTGAATTAGAAGTTATATTGAATTATATTATCATCTGGTTGTCTCATCACTTAAGTGCCTTTCAGGATCTTTCTACCTGTTTGTTTGCTTCACTTCTGTTTTTATTTATTTATGGGGGGGGGGGGGGGGCTGCACCGTTGTTTTTTTAAAGGCATATTTAAACTTATTTTCTACTTTGTCTGGTGCTACTCTGAGAATGTTCAAACTTTAATTCATCCACAACGTAGGAAAAAAAGAAGCGTTCTGCTTTGCTGCTGCTTTTCGTTGGAAACATTCAAAGCAACGTGATCGTGAAAAAACAACACTGAAGAAAAATATATGTCCAGAGAAAATACATCGATGTTATTTATGAGAGTGGACGAGTTTTCTGTGTCTGAGCTGTTGAATATTAACTGTTGTGAAAAGTGTCAAAGAATCTGTGTCGAGATAAACAGAGAAAAAGAAAACTCACCTGACGTCGACTCTTTTATTGATGTTCGATTCCCTGAGGTCACTGACGTCACCGCTGACGCCCCGTTCATCCACAGCGTCGGGTTTTTATTTCTGCTCATTAATCCTTCAGGTTCTTTTCACAACATGTTTGTGGGAAACTCAAATAAACGGATTCATCAGACGCAGTTAGGACCAACAAATTAACTGAGGTTGGATTTTACAGTTTGACCACAAACTTTTCACCTGAGAAAAAGTTTCTGTGTGAAACAGACGAGACTCGTCAGCTCTGATCACGTTTGATGAAACGTCTTTAAAAGATAATTATAGAAAGTTAGAGCTGCGTCACTCTGCACTTTCTCTGCTCGTCACGTTTCTAATCTCGCTCCACCTCACAGCTCAGTAACAATCCTCGGAAATGACCCCCCCCCGGTGGAAAAGCCCCTCGCTCTGTCGGCCTGGACAGGAACCATCAGACCAACCCCCACCCCCCCCCGCACTTCAGGCTTCACTTTAACCTGCTGCTGCAGATCATTTTAAAAGGTTTTAAAGTGAAGCTTCATGTCACTCAAACCACAGAACAAATAAACAAAGAGCAGAAATCAAAGTGGAGAGATCGGAGGATGGAGGCGTGTTAGAAAAGTCCTGAGTGGACGTGTTGACGAGGTTTCTAACACGTGACGGACGTGAAAGTGGAAGAGTCCAAATACCTCAGGACGAAGAAGAGGAAGACGAGGAGATTCCAGATGTTCTGGTGATGAGGGCCGACGCTGTCCTCGTCCTCCAGGTCTCAAACATTAGTGTCTTCCAAGTACAGGACCACACACACACACACACACAGAAAGGGCTTCCTGTCGTCTTATCACTTCTCCAGGAACTAGATGACGACAGACAGAGAGAGAAGAAGGAGTGAAGAGGAGGAGAAGAAGAAACCACACAAGCTGGACGTGGTTTGTTCTTTTAGTCTCCGAGCTTCAGCTCATTCGATTAAAGATGAATCAGTACAGAAAGAATTCACTGTGAAGGAGCTGACGAGACAAACTGCATCTGTCTGTCCTTGTGATGTCTCAAGAACAAATGTCTTCCAATGTGGTTCAATCGTTCACTTTGACTCGAGGATGAACTCATAAGACTTTGGTCGAGGTCGAAAGGTCGGAGGTCGAAGGTCGAGGTCCCAGTGGCCTCACTAAACATTTTGAGTGTGAAAACAATGTCTCAGATATTCTCACTGCTTTTACTCTCAGAGGACGTTTTAACTTGTCCGTCCAAATCTGATCAGATCAACAAGATGAGAGGAGAAAAGGTCGAGTAGAGAGATGTAAACACACACACACACACACACACACACAGGAAACAGGGGGTGTGTCCTCCCTCTCTGTTTATAAGCAGCTGGTGGTCTGCAGCCTCCTCAGTGTGGTGGTTGGAGCAGACATGACAGCGGTGGGGGAGCTGCTGCTGGTGCTGGGTTTACTGGCGAGCGTTCACTGTGAGTTGAGGTCACGAGACCCTGATGTGGAGGAGGAGGAGGAGCTGGGAGGAGGAGTGGGAGAGAGGGGGAACCTTCCACCCCGAAATGGGTGAGTCCAGATACATCCGATAATCTGTTCATTATCCAGGTTCATTTAAAATCTTCCGTTTTTTCAACATTAACAATTAAATAGTTTGTGATGTTGAAACATTTTCCTGTTTCGTGTCATCACGTCAGACTTCAGGAAACTGATGTTATCTGATATCTCATCAATCAATTCATCTGTGAACCAAGAGCCTGCTGATTGTAGAGACGAGAAAATGATCAGTGACCATTAGATTCATCATCGTAAAGTTCTGTTGTGTAAAACAAATGAACATAGAACATAAACGTGTCTGTATTCTAATGACCAGCAGGGGGCGACTCCACTGGTTTCTATAGAAGTCTATGTGACTGTGTGTGTGTGTGTGTGTGTGTGTGTGTGTGTGTGTGAACAGCCTGGGTGGTACCAGCCTATTATGTTCAGGCTGGCAGTCAAAACAGTCGCCTGTTTGGTTCTTCTGTGTGCATTAGGCCTGACTGGTGTGTGTGTGTGTGTGTGTGTGTGTGTGTGTGTGTGTGAGGACCTTCTGTTGGCTCCTCACGTCCTCTACGAGCTGTCTGAGGGCCACACTCGGTTTTCGGGTGAACGTCGGGTCGAGGTTGAGGTTAAAGTTGAGGTCACAGGTGTCGGCAGATAAACCCGACGAGTCCTTTTCTCCACATGATTAATGGACGAGAAGAAGAAAAACAAAACTGTGACACAAGATTAATTATCATTGATAGAAGCTGAACATCACGTCGTCGTCCGGACGTCACGTCAAGTTTCTCCAGTAGCTTCACAAGCAGTTTGACATTTGTACTTTTGAGTTGAATATTTTAACATGTATTAGATGATGATGTGTGTGTGTGTGTGTGTGTGTGTCCTCTGACCACACCTGCACATAGTTTCCTTTAAAGAACTCCAATCAATTCATCTTCATTACGTTCCGTCGACAGTTTCCTGCTCCGCTCCACTTATCTCCCTCTTTTACTTCTTCTCTTCATGAAACAAGAACTTTGACTGTGTTTGGTTCTCGTGACTTAATGAAGCTCAGCAACGTGAAGATTAACATCAGTGATTCTGAGTTT